CTTCTTATAATGTTTTGCTACTTTTTTTTTAACTTTTTTTGGTTTTGTTAACAAACTTGTTTCTTTTTCAACTTGTTTAATAAATCTGTTGAGTACTATTTTCTTGTATAACCTATTTAACAAGCTTGCTATTATTTTCCCTTAATTTATCTTAATCATTTTACATTTTTTATTTATATTTTCTTCTATTTGTTTTCTTTAAACTTGCTTTTATTCTTTCTTTTTCCTTCTTGTAATAGCTTTTTCCAACTCTTCATATTTTTTATCCATGTATTTGACTATTGCCTCTGTAATTTTGATAATTTTACACCTATTTTCTTGTCTAGTTCTTTTAATTGTTTATTTATTTTGTTTTCTTCTTCTTCTGTCACTTTTTGGTTCTTTTTTGTTTTTGTATATTTGATTTGTCTTTGTATTTTAATAACATTTTCTTCTAATTACTGTTTTTTTTAACTTCTTTTTCTATTTATTATTGTGTTATATACTTTTTTTTTAGATATTAGCTTGCTTGCTGTTATAATAATTGCTTCTTTTATTACATCTTAAATATTATTTATTTTGTTTTTTCTTTTGAATGTTCTTTAGAATTTCTTTAACTTCTGGTCAGTTTGTAACTTTTATGCATAGTTTTTTCAGTCTTCTGTTTTTATTTAATCATACAAATAGTATTCTTGACTGTTTTTTTCTCTTAACTTCTGCTTTGCTTTTTTCTGCTATTATGTGTTTGATTCATATTTCTGCTTTTACTATTTTGTGATCACTTTCTGTAATTTCTTCTGCTTTTTCAATTTCTGCTTTTTGCAACTCTGTTGCTAGTTCATCTGATACTTATATATAGTTGATTCTTGTTACTACTTCTTTATTTAACCATATATATTGTTGTCTTGTTAGGTATATATCTCTGTATATATTGCTAAAATCTTGTTTTTTTATTTAATTAAAGATTGGCAATCTTTTGTAGCTTGCTATTTGTGAATGTTGTCTGTCTAGTATATTGTTTACTGTATAATTAAAGTTATTTATTATAACTATTTGTGTTTATCTTTTTCTTTTTAGAACTGTTTCTACAATTTTTTGTTGAATGCTCTTTTTTATTATCTTGTCATTTGGTGGTATATAGACCAAGATTATTACTAACTTCAATTGCTTAAAGTATAGCATGATTTCTATTATGTATTCACTTATTTTCTTAATTGCATCTATATATTTTTCTATTGCTTATCTACTAGAATCCAATGCCTAATCCTTTTTTCTTATCTTCTGCTACATTTATTCAGTATCTTATATATCTGTTATTTACAGTATATACTAAAAATTTCTTTTCTCTTTCTATAAGATTTGTTTTTGTAATTTCTAGTATTGCAATTTCTTTTTCTTCTGCTCAGCCTAGTAGATTTCTGAGTTTTTAATCTTTAGTTTTAAGTCTGTTAATGTTATGACATGCAATTTTAATTTTTTTTTTTTTCTTTTCACTTCTTTTTTAGTTGTTCTCATACTATTTTTGTATTCTTAAATCTTTTTTCCTACTTTTTGTTTTTCTTATTTTAAGACCAAGAGATATTTCTTTTTTTTTTTCTGCAAACATTCTTCCTTCTCTTTGCAAAAAGTTTTCAATTTCCTTGTCTGTATTCTTGAGTTCAACTAGGATGCCCTTAGAAGCAGTTGGCTAGGTCTTTTTTTGTATTCAGATATATATTTTTTAATCTGTTTAGTTTGTCTAAAATCTAATCTAAAATGTTCTCAACTTGTCTGATTTTTGATTGAAGTTGTGTATCTTTGTTTTTTTAAGTTTTTTTCTTCTTTTTTCATGCTAGTATTTTTGTCTTCTAATCAATTTTTAATGTTTTGTAGTTGAGAACTACTTTCTATTGTCATGTATCTTTTGTTTAAATATTGACTATTTCTATTTTAGTTTCTTTTTTTTCTTTCTTTACTGCTTTCTTCTTTTCTTCTTTCTGCATCAATGTTTCTATCTCTTAACCATTTTTCTATGTTTTGTATTTGAGAATCACTTTCTATTTCTGTATATTCTCTTCTTAAGTTTTAACTAGCCCTATCTCAGCTTCTTCCTCTTCTACCTCTAAAATTTTTTATTCTTTTTGTTTCTCTTATTCTTTTATTCATTTAGTATACTTGAAAGTTGTTATACATAATTGGTTTTAACTAGCCTGTCTTTATCTCTCTTTCTGTTGCAAATATAATTATTGCAGTTTTTTTGATTTTCATTTCTGTTCAGTAAGATATAAACTAATTTTGTATCTTTGCTTCTTAGATACTATAATAATAAAACCTCTAAGACATTACTTGGTAGCTCTGTTAATTTTGTTATATACTGTCTTTGCTTTTGTCTTGTCTTATAATCTTTCTTCTCTTCTGTTACTCTTATCAGTTTATTATTGTTAACTGGTATAAACTATGAAGTGCTTCCTTTTTCTATTACTTCTATTTAGATTATTATAAGAAACTTAAATTTGAATTTCTTAATTCTCACTATTTGTGCTTTTTTAAATCTTCTGCAAATATATTTTAGTTCTTTTTTATTTATATTTGTTGGCAAATTCCAAATTGCTATGAATTTTTTTCTTTTTGTTTTCTTATCATTAATGTCTTTTTGGTCTTCTTTTAGTTTATCATTACTTTTTTCTTTTCTATACTTTTTCTTTTTGTGTTCTGGTATACTGGCTCTTTTATTTTGGTATTTTTTCTTATATTTTTTTTGTTTCTCTCTTTTTTCTTTTTTGTCTTTTTCTAATATTATTCTGTATTAGTTACTTTTTTTTTACTAATTTTTTGTATCATCTTACTTCTGCTATATTTATAATCAAAATCCACTTCAATCTACAAATTTTTTTGTTTAAAAATTTCTCTAATGTTCTTAATATATTCATTATTTTTTAATAACTAGCTAATAAACTTTATGCATTTTTCTTTCATTTTTTTAGGCACATTGTGTGTGAATATGTTGGCTAATAGACTGCTGTTTTTGTTGCAATTCCTTTTGCTTGATGCTTATATACTTTTCTCTAAAAAAATTTTTACTATATATATTTTTCTTTCAACTTTTTGTTTTCTTCTTTTTTCTCTTTCTTTTTCTTCTGTTGTTGAATTTTGTCTTGATTCTTTATCATTTATTTCTATGTTTACTTGTTTTGCTTCTTTTATTTATTCTTTTTGGTTTCTATTATCTACACTAATAATTTCTCTTCTATTTGATTTGTGCTTTTAAAACTTACCTCTATTTTTGCTTATTTTATTATAAAAAGGTTTTCATCTTATAGTCTTTTGTTCATATCTTCTTTTTCTATTCTTTTTTCAATTTTTTGATCTTTTTTATGCATGTTTTTTTGCTCTTTCTTTTTCTTCATTGCTTTTTGTTATGCTAATTTTTTTTTTCTTGTTTGTCTTTTTCTTTAAACTTAATTGTCATCATGTTTTTGTCTTGCTCTGTGAAATCTAACTTCTTTTCTGGCTGTTCTTTTTTTGCTCTTTTGATTAATTCTCTTGTTATTTTTAATAGTGTAACTTCTTCTAGTTTTTGCTTCATAAGTATTGCAATAATTTTATCTTTTCTGTCTAGCATTATGTATGTCTTACTTGACTGATTAAAGAATATTTTGTTGTGTATTTTGTTCATCACTCAGTATGCTCTTCTTATAAATATTATTAATAGACTTTCTTTATACTTTTTTAATTTCATATTGTACTTATGTTTATGTGTCTCTGATTGGTTCTCTGAATTTAGTTATTATTAATTTAGTTATATTTAAATAAAAAAAATAATAAATATTAGTTATAAATTAACATATATATATATATATATTTGAACTTTGGTAACACTAACAGTTAGTTTATTAAACTTAATTTTATAATACAATTATAGTTATAGGATTATTTAGTACTATATAGCTATTTTAAGCTATTCTAATTCTATTTTACTAACTTTATCTAGTTAGCTATATGGCATCTAAGTCTGTATTTGCCACATCTTGCATGCAGTTATCTTTAGCCACTACTTGTGATCAAGGCATATCATTAAACTGCTATACAGACAAGAATATCTTTATAACTTAATATGGTACTCTAAATGCCAAGAATACTATCTTTTGTAATTATAAAAATATTTCTTTTTGGCTTCATACTATAGACTGATTTAATAAAACTTGTGAAATATTCAAATCTATTAAATTAATTAATTCTTTTAAAAAACTCAAAACCTATCTTTATCAATTTATAACATAGCTAAAAAAAGAAAATAGTTCTGATTATAAAGTCAAATCTGTTTATAATTATTACAGTACAATTAATAAGTATCTTAAAAAAAATAGTGTTCTTTAACCAATAAAGATCTTTAATCAATACAGGTTTCTTCATGCTCTTCAAACCTTAAATAAAAAAATGCATACTTTACAAAATAAGAAATTAGAAGATACAAAAAAATTAGACAGGTTGTCATCAGCAGAAATTAAACAAATACTTGACTACTCTTATATAAATATTAATACAAGTAAATCACTTTTATATAGAGTTTTCTTTTGCTATACTTATTGTATAGACTACAAGGTAATGATGCATATCAAATTAATAAAAATAACCTTAAATATTATCATAATAGAAGTTTGGAGCTTGTATTATATAAAAAGAAAACCAATTAAGAAGATGCTTTCTATTAACATAAAATATAAAAAAACAAGTTCTCAATGTATTTCAATACTATCTGATTTATCTAGTAATAAGTACTTACCAATAACTGATATTCTTCTCTATTTGTTAAAAGTACCTGATTTGGTATTAGTAGATTCTTTTTTTTGTAAAATATATAAAAGTAAAAAAAGTTTGTTTTTTTATATAATAGCATATTGATATAAAAAAACTACATTTGATTTTGGTAATTAATTTAACTATTATTGTTAAAGATCTTCAAAAAGAGTATTAGTACAAAAGTACATCTATGGGTTATTGCAAATTAAAAAATATAATAACTGATATTGCAACATATATAGGAATTGATCTTACTAATAGACAAAAAATTACAAATTATTCATGCCATCATATTGCAATTCAGTTATTAAAAAATAATGGGCTTTCAGATTCTGATTTACAAACATTCTTAGAACATCAATTATGTGAAAGCCTTGCAGATTATTGCAAACTTAGTAATGATTAATGAATTTTAAACTCTGTAATATTAATTTCTTTTTTATCAAATAAATTAGATTTAGAAGAATATAATTATTCTGAATGTTTTCTTAGAGAAAATATTGATAATGTAGAACAAAGTAAATTTATATATAACAATTTTAAACACTTTGAATCTAATGCTTTTTTATTAAATATAATTTAAAATATATAACTATTAACTTTTATTTATATATTTTACATTTTTATTTATTTATTTTTTTTTTTAGATTATAAAATTGAAATTTCTAAAGCACAAGCATTTGAAATTTCTAAAGCACAAGTGACTCTAATTTCTGAAGCACAAGCAACTCAAGTTCTTATAACATAAGCAATTCATGTTCTTATAGCAGAGACAATTAAAGTTCTTATAGCACAAGCAACTGAAATTTTTATGGCACAAGCAACTAAAATTCCTATAGCATATATAATTGAAGTTTCTACAGCACAATTTACAACACAAGCAACTAAAGTTCCTATAGCAATTTCAAATCAAAATATGGTTAGAACTTCAAAACTTTTTAAATTAAAGTCTTGTAATCAATCAAACTTACTCTTATTCTTCTATGATAACACCATTTAAACCTCTTTATCTAACTAATTTTTCAATATTGACTTCTTATGAAAGCATTGAAATTCTTTATTTACAATTAACAATATTATTATTCAACTTCTTCTTAATGCTCCTTCACAAAGTTATAACCTAAAAATAAATTTAAAAATTAATTAAATTTTTTAAATATAATTATTTTTATTATTAAATGCAAATTAATAAATATTTAGTTTTATAAACATAATGTTTTTAACAAAGTAACCAAAATTTAAGTATTTTAAATATTAAGTGATTGAAAATTAAGTTATCATATAATTAAAAAGTGATTAAATAATATATACAAAAAATATCTAGTGTGCACATAGGATATATTGGATAAAAAATTTTAGAATAAAAGATATAGTAATATAGTAAAGTAGTTATATTGTTAACTTTCAAATAGCAGATCTAGAGTTTAAATTTCAGTATTAATAAAAATTTGAAATTCTTTTAATATTACAATTAACTGTCTTCTGCTATTGGTTAGGATTGAATATCTGTTACTCATGTTATATCAGTATACTGGAAGATTATATAGCATTTGTATAATAATATACTTTATATAAAAGAATACAAACTAGTACTAGATAGTTTAAACTTGTAATTAGTTTTTATAACTATATAAATTATAAGAATTAGAAAAATAAAAACCAGGATGTGGCAACTTAGTAAAATAAATAAGTTGTTAACCTTCCAAGTAATAAGTTGTGAGTTTAAAATTTATTAACAGTAAAAATTTAAATAATTATTTATATAATATATAGACAGTATTACAGTGATAGCATTTTATTAATCAGTTAGAATAAGATACCTATAACTATAGTTATACTAGCATAACTGGCAAGTTATAAGGTATTTGTATAATCCTAATTACATAGAAAGATGCAAACTAGTACTAGGCAGTACAAACCTAAAATAAGTTTTTATAGCTATATAAATTTATAAAATTGAAAAAAACTAAAGCCTACTTGAAAAGACTCAAGTAGGAAGGTAATACAGATCTTTAATAGTACTATTATAAAAACTAGATTTAAAAAATAAATACTAATATAAAAAAATCAAATAAACAAAAACCTCTAAGTAAAGAATATTATTAACTAAGCTGCTAAATTAAACTGAAAAAAAAGAATATTAAGCTAAATTCAATATACTAAAAACAAATTACAGTTTCTTTAAGTTATCTGAATTGTGAGTTTATAAATAAAACAGAATATACTAAATTACTAAGAATATATTGTGAAGTAGATACTAAGATATAGATAAATTTTACAAAAGCAAGCTTTTATTAATAGTCTATAAAATAAGTAGGTAGTTAATAAAAAAGCTTTTTGAGTTTTACTTTTTTTTTTTAAATATTAAGATAAGTACTTGTGATTCAGGATTTTATTGATAGTATATTTGGCTAATAATTGCATTACAACCACAAAAGGCAACTATGAAAAGAGTATACAACTAGCCACTCGTACAACTTTAGTTATTGTCTAATTTAAGTAGTCTGTTTAAAAGTTCTATACTAGTAGCCATATCTGGAATCTGCTTGTAGGTTTCCTATTTAACTACTCTAGTTTTTGTATTCACTTATTTATTTCTGTTTATCAATGATCTTGGCCAATGCTAGTAAAAATATACCATAATCACTAAGTCTTTAAAGCAGTTCTTTGGAACCTTTGATCTTGTACTAAACCTTCCAAAATCTTCTGTATTCTATTCTTACAGCTGATCTAATATTGCTATAACTGAGACTAACACTGACAATCAGGATGTAGCATTAAACTGCTATGCCTTTATAGAGTTCATTCCAAGCTTGGTACTGACTTCACAATATATTCTTATTACTTTAGTATTCAATTTAAGTTCTACCAAGCTGCTATTTCAGATAGCTCAGAAAGATAAGTTATAACTATATATTTTTGGTTTACATGTTTGTTAGCATGTACCCTTTTTCTTTGAAATCTGAAAATTCTAATGGTCTAGTTGATTCATCCAGTCTCTTTTTAAAGACCAGTACATTTGTCTGATTTCACAAGTTCTATTTCTGTTTTATAAGTCTAGTCTTTACAATAGTACTGTTGAAAGTTCAGATTATCTCTTTACTTGGATCTTCTAAGTAGGCTTCTGTCTTTCTTTTTTTGGTTCTTATGATTTACATAACTACAAGGACTTATTATAGATTTGCACTGCCTGGTACTGGTTTGCATTTATTTGTGTAACCACAGACCTTGTCCCAAATGACAATGTTATATGATTGTTACACAACTGTCATATGACTTGCCAGTCATGCTGGTATGACACAGATAACAAGTATCTTATTCTAACCAATTGCAAAAGATAGTTAACTGTAATACAAAAAGAATTTTCAAATTTTCTATTGATATTAGGATTTAAACTCTGGACCTGTTACTTAAAGGTTAAAAACTTAACCACTTTACTAGGTTACCACACTTCATCTTCTGAGTTTTATTAACAGATAATATATTTTAAAATATGTAATAATCTGAGAATCAATTCAGAAAGAGAAAGTACAGTGCTATTTAAATAGTATACTAGTTAAATATATATGAAAAGTTAGTAATAGTTTATAGTTAATAGAATAGATGATTGAAAAGTTTAAAATTAATAATCTTTTAGTAAATTATAGATATGACATCTAGTATAGAACATTAGAACAAACTACTTAAATAAACAATTAAGAATTACATACATGACTAGTTATATCCTTTTTCTATAAAAATAATATAAAATTAACTTTAATATGTTGTTATAGAATGACTTATTATTATTTTATTATTATTATTTAGTATTAGTTATTCTATTATTATATTATTATTATATTATTAGTAGTTGCTAGAACTTTCTAGTTGATTAGTAATCACTTAGTCGCTTAGTCACTTAGTTGCTTAGTTGCTTAGTTACTTAGCTGCTTAGTCGCTTAGTTACTTAATAATTAGTCGCTTAGTAATCATTAGTTATTAGTTGCTAGAACCTTTCAGTTATTTAGTAATTGCTTAGTCACTTAGTCACTTAGTCACTTAATCGCTTAGTTGTTTGGCTGCTTAGCTATTTAGCTCACAGATATATAAACTTTGCTAAATTCCTTAAGTGTGATTAAGCAACAGACACTCCTCTTTTCTTTAATATTGTAAACACATCTTGGAATTTTTTAGGAACAGAAACCAAAGAATAGCCCTTCTTGTTATTACTTTAATAAACAGCTTTTGACTATAAACTATATTAATACTCCCACTCTAGAGTAATTCCTACAAGCAAGGTTTATTTCCTCTTAGTGAAATAAAGTAAAATTATCAGTATTGCATTACCTTTCCCGAACTGTCTTAGAGAAGGGTATAGTTTCTTAACAATGTCTAACAGAAGCTATACTTCCCTTTTGGATACTGCATATACCTGTAAGGAATTCTCTATACTGTGTCATCATTATAGTATAAAAATTAAGAAGGCTTTTATCTATAACATTTGGTGCCTTCTGGCAGAAAGGTTAAATTTTTAGAGAAAAAAAGTCATCCTAGATGAAACATTACCAGATATATTAGAAAAGTTATCCTGGCAAGAGATCTGGACAAGTATTAGTTATTCCAATAAGAGACTCAGATGTATTGGAAAGTTATTCTGGTAAGAGACCTGAACGAGTATTAGTTATCTCAGCAAGAAACCTGAATGAGTATTAGTTATCCTAGCAGAGCCTCAGATGTAGAAACACATCTTCTTTTATGATTCACACTGCTGCTAAACTTCACAATAAAAACATCCAAAGCCATCAACAAGCACATCTAACTGGATCTTATCTTGCAGTAGACATACTTCAAGCACAGCATTCAGATTTATCTTATCTTCAGTATTACTTCCCTTAATGTACCAGCCCTCACACAGATTTTGGACAATTTTGGACTTGGTACCAAACTAACTTCACAGCTCAATATTATTCCTTCAAAACTTAGGACAACTTTACTACTTTTACTATCCCATATCCAAACTAAATCCCAATTCGTCTTTGCATTAGAGATATTATTTTTAGTTGCTGATACCAACAAGACTTTGGTAATCCTAGAACAATTGCTTTAACTTTAGTTAGAAGATATACCAACCTCTTTCAACTCTCTACTATATCTTTTGAATATCAAAATGCTTTTGACCTTCATCTCGACACTTCACTAAGTTTTAGTTTTGAAGAACCAGAAGAATTTAGTTAACATTTTGAAAATTTAGAAAGTCCTATTTTACTACCTACTACTGATATTACATTTACTAATAATATTCCCTTCTTGGAGGTGTAGCGACCTAGTGAAGTGGTCAGGTTGTTAACCTCCAAGTGGCAGATTCAAAGTTCAAATCCCAGTGGCAACGGAAAATTTGAAAATCCTCTCTGTGTTACGATTAACTGTCTGTCACAATTGGTTGGGATAAGATACCTGTAACCTGTGTCACACCAGTATGACTGGCAGGTTACATGGCATTTGTGTAATGGTTACATGGCATTTGTGTAATGGTCACATGACATTGTCCTTTGGGACAAGGTCTGTAGTTACACAAAGGAATGCAAACCG